TTATTATCATCATATTTTTTTATTATTGTTATTAGTATTATCATTATTATTAGTAGTAGTAGTATCAGTACTGATTTTATCTTATTCTTATTCTTATTCCTAATATTAATATTATTATTATCATTATCGTTATAATTACTATTATCATTATTACCATCGATGTTGTTGTTATCTTTATCATTATCATTATTATCATTATTGTCATTATCATTATCATTATAATAATAATAATGATAATAATAATAATAATAATAATAATAATAATAATAATAATAATAATAATAATAATAATAATAGTAATAATAATAGTAATAATGATGATAATAATAATTATTATTATTATCATAATACCAATAATAATATTAATAATAATAATAAAAATAATAATAATATTATTATTATTTATTATTATTATTATTATTATTATTATTATTATCATTACTGTTATTATAATTATTTTTTTTTATTGTTGTTATTATATCATTGTTGATGTCATTATTATCTTTATTGTTATTGTTAGTATGATCATTATTAGAATTATCCTTAATATTATCACATTCATTATAGTCCCTATTTGCATTATCATTATTATTACTTTTGTTATCATAATTATTGTTAACATTGTTATTATTATCATCATTATTAATAATATTGATATCATTATTATTATTATAATCATTATTATCATTGTTATCATTATCCTTATTATCATCATCATCATCATGTGATTGTTATGTTTGTAATTTCATTATAATAATAGTGAATATTAGTTCCATTATCATCATTACTAAAATTAATAATTACTCGCTCTTCCTGTACTTTTTGTTAATCCTATTTTTATTATTATCATTATTATTATTGTCATCATTATCAGTGTTGTTTACGTTCTTGTTTTCCTTAATATTTTCACTCTTGTTTGTTTTGTTTATTTTTTGTTTCTGTTGATCTCTTTATGATAGATAATGTCAATATTATTTTTTACATTGATATGAATATCATTTTGTGGCCTTTGGGATATAATATTATTTCTTCCCTTTTTCATCAATTTTTCATTATTAGTATAATCTTCATTATTACTGGTATCGTCATAATTATCATTATCATTATTGTTATCAATGTTATTATTATTTTTGTTATCACTATCATTATTATTGTTATTATCATTATTATAATCATTATCAGCATCATTATTATTATCATTACTATTATTATTATTATCATTATTATTATTATTGTTATTATCATTATTATTATTATTATTATTATTATTATTATTATTATTATCATCATCACCATCATTATTACTATTTGTATTATTATCATTATTGTTATTTTCATTATTATTATCATTATTGTTATTTTCATTATTATTATCATTATTATTATTATTACTGTAATCATTATTATTTTAATAACCATTATCTATTATTACTGCTTTTACTGTTATTCTAAGTATCATTACTATCCTTATTAATATTTTTAATATTATTATGATGATAACATACTAATATTATTGTAATAATAACAATAAAGATATAAAGATAAAGATAAAGAATAACACCACCACCAACAACAAAAATAACAATAATATATAATAATAATAATAAAAATGATAATAATAATAATAATAATATTAATAATAATAATAATAACAACAATAATAATAATAATAATAATAATAATAATAATAATAATAATAATAATAATAATAATAATAATAATAATAATAATAATAATAATAATAATAATGATAATAATAATAATAATAATAATAATAATTTATAATAATGCTAATATTGATAATAATAATATTCAACGATTATTATCATTATCATTATCGTCATTATTATCTTATCATGGTATCATTTTCATCATTACCATTATGATAATAAGTAAGATATATTTACTATATATCGTTGCTATTAATCACTATTGTCATTGCCATCTCATTTGCATAATTTTCAATCATTAAATAAAATCTAAGAATAAGAAAAATACGTCGGATATAATGCACGTCCTTTGCTTGTATGCATATTTGTATGCTTTATCGTGTCTGTATGTGAGTGTGTGTGTGTGTGTGTGTGTGTGTGTGTGTGTGTGTGTGTGTGTGTGTGTGTGTGTGTGTCTACGTGTGTGTATCTGCGTGTGTCTGTGTGTGTCTGTGTATGTGTGTGTGTTAAATACGCTTGTGCATGTGCATCTGTATTTTTATAATTTCTATAATAGTATTTATTATTTTCCCTAGTATTTTCCTTGCTCACTAATATAGACATTGTTACTAACATGGTTATCATCATTATCATCATATCATTTGCATAAGTGTTATCACCATTGCATCATCATGATCATCACCATCATGATCACCATCATCACCATCGCCACCACCATCATGGGGAGTGAAAGAATACAGCCTCTTGTCCACTGAATTTCTTTTTTATTTTTTTCATTTCCAACGATAAAGAAACGTCGGTTCATCCACTGTGTTGTATAACAAGACAAATATCGGTGCGTTATGTACAAATGATATACAGAATCAGACAAATAAAAAAAAGAAAAAAAGAAAAGCCAAAAGAGATGTAGACGGGCATCTCGGCGCCGACGCCGCGGCTCCGTCCGACGTCCCCGCCCCCCCTCCCCCTCCCCGCCGCCGCCGCCGCCGCCGATGCTGCCGTCGATGCCGCCCGCGGGGGCGTGGGCGGCGGCCGGGGTCACAACCGCCTTCGAGGAACAGGCCACGCTTCTTGTGGCATCCATCCACGCCGCGGCAGATGGGCAAAAGGGCACGGGTTCCTGGCCTCCTCCGGGCAGCTCTCGAGGCGCCCTCTGCGTCCGGCTTCTGTCTCGGCGGCGCCTCGTCGAGCCGGCTGGCGTCGGCTGCGCAGCTGCGCCGCCAGCGAGAGGCGCCAGAGGTGGGATGTTCACCTTTCCACGCCCACGCTTCCTGCCCGCCCATTCACCCACGCCCGCGGGGCCCACGGACAGCCCGGGTTTGCTCCGCGCGAAGAGGCGGCAGCAAGCGGTTTGACGGGCGAGAGGTGGGCGGCCGGCCGATGAATGGGCGGCCGGGGGGAGTGGGCGGCGAGGGTGCGGGCGGCGGGGTGCGGGCGGCGAACACGGGCCGGCGGCGGTCCGGTGAGGGAGGGGGAGGGGGATGAGAGGGGGAGGGAGGTATGTACAGGGGCGCAAAACTTCCATATGTACAAGAGCGGCCGCCCCGGGCGTGCACACATACACACACACGTGTACACATGGCCGCCTCTAGCTAACACTGTGCCTGAACCTCTCAGACATTACACGCATATACACACACACACACACACGTCCGTATAAATTATGGCATTAAGAACGTAGTATTACATACACACTTTTTTAATTATTCTCACCATTAATATTATTAATATTTTATTCATCATAACATTACATTTATGCGATTATCACATTTCAAAAGAGTTCCTGCTACCGAGGAGGGGCCGAGCCTCACTGGTACGAAGTGACACGCTGGCCGCCCGCGCCCTTCGCCGCTCGCGGGCGGGCCGACGGGCGTCCGGCCCGGGGGGCGCCGCCGCGACCTGAGGGCGTCGGCGGGCCTGGGACGTGGCGGGCGGCCGCTGTACCCGGCGCCCGACGGGACTGGGGGACGCGCCCGTGCACCCACCCGGCAGTCGTCACGCCCGCGTCGAGGGAAATCCTGGGCAGTGGTGGGTGGAGGTGGGTGGCTTCCGCGGGCGGCGCTCCGTGGCGGCGGCGGCGGCTCCCTCGCTCGCTCTTCGCCCTCGCCCTTTGCCGCTCGCATGGGCGCGCGGCCTCACAAACATTTAAGTCCTGGGGCGCGCGTGTTACATGTGGGTGAGAGGCATGGGTGCGGGCGGCATCTGCTCGGGGGAAGTCGCGGCGTGGGCGTGGTAGTGTGCGTGGGACATGTAGGCGGCGGCGGCGGCGGCCTTCTGCTGCTCATGGCGCTCCTGGGACCCCGGCAGGTACATGGAGATCATCTGCGACAGGTCCTGCTGCCCCGGCTGGCCCGGCGCGTACTCCCGCTTCATCACACCCGCTGCGGGGGAAACAGGGATGTCAGTCGGGGCGGGGGGGGGAGAGAGAGGGAGAGAGAGGGAGAGAGAGGGAGAGAGAGGGAGAGAGAGAGAGAGAGAGAGAGAGAGAGAGAGAGAGAGAGAGAGAGAGAGAGAGAGAGAGAGAGAGAGAGAGAGAGAGAGATGCAGGCGGCGAGGAAAAGGCAAAGATATAGAGATGCAGATGGAAAAGAGGCAGTAGAGGCAAAGAAAGAGAAAATAGAGAAATGTGAATAGATCTAGAAAGGGACATATATAAGTAAATAACCTAATTTTGTACACACCATAATGACATGATAATATTGCACACCTTATTACTACATTGGTACAGGACGTGAAAAGAACTTGAGAAAGAAGAAAAGAGAAAAGGTGGATGAGAGAGAGAGAGAGAGAGAGAGAGAGAGAGAGAGAGAGAGAGAGAGAGAGAGAGAGAGAGAGAGAGAGAGAGAGAGAGAGAGAGAGAGAGAGAGAGACAGAGAAGAGACAGAGAGAGAGAAAGAGACAGAGAGAGAGAAAGCGAGAGCGAGAGAGAAGCGAGAGAGAGAGAGAGAGAGAGAGAGAGAGAGAGAGAGAGAGAGAGAGAGAGAGAGAGAGAGAGAGAGAGAGAGAGAGAGAACAAAATGAAGAAAAGAAGAAGAAAAAAAAATCGAAAAGAAAAAAAATCATAAAAAAAAATAAATAAAAGACAAAAGAAACAAAAAACATAAAACAGAAAAGAAAGAAAGAAAGAAAGAAAGAAAAGAAAACAAGACTGCAAATCAACCACAGCCTATCCCAGTATCCCAGAAGAACCCCCGTCTAATCGTGTCTGTTGTCAAGAGACCAGTACCGTGTTGGGGTGATGTACGTACTTGGATAATCACCTGGAGTGGTGTGGCTGGCTGAGGGAGGCATCGAGGCTCCGGGGGACGACACTGGGAGGGTGGGCGTCTC